TATATATACATATATATATATACATATATATATATATATACATATATATACACATATATACATATATATATATATATATATATATATATATATATATATATATATATATATATATATATATATATATATATATATATATATATATATATATATATATATATATATATATATATATATATATATATATATATATATATATATATATATATATATATATATATATATATATATATATATATATATATATATATATATATATATATATATATATATATATATATATATATATATATATATATATATATATATATATATATATATATATATATATATATATGTATATATTTGCAAATATGGACAAACACAAACTGTTGGTCAAAAGGTGTAATTTAAATTTGATAAAAAAATGCAACCCTACATTGTGTCCATATATAACGCTGGGTTAAAACAACCTCAAGTTAAAAAACGTTTGAGAGTGTAGTTAAAAGTGATTAGACTAACACGAGGGTTAATTTAATTAATCAGACTAATAAATCACAGCAATAAATAAATACCGACCACAGTAATGTGAGCAGACATGCGTTCTTACCGTGCTGAAGTTTTTAGACAGGCAGCGGTCTGAAGGTTTGAGGAGAGGAGTGCTGATCCTGACCCCTTCAAATGCCGTCATGTTCACCATCTCTCTGAAATCTCTCTCAAACTGAAGATGGGGGAGCGAGAAGTTCATTTAAAACAGTCAGTGACACCGTGCACTGTGAGATTACATGACTTAACTTGCAAACAGTAAGTAAACATATTCCTTTTAAAGCATCACTGTTGATTTTAAAGCGAGTAGTTGACTTTGCTTTAAAAAGTTAGTAAACCAGTTGCTTTTAAGGCAATTAGTTGTCTTTAAAGCTAGTAAACGCATTGCATTTAAATAGATTAGTTGTCTTTACTTTAAAAATTGAGTGGATCTAGTGCTTTAAAACGATTATAGTTGACTTAGAAATAAAACTGAGTAAGCCTTTATAGAGATTAATTGACTTTTGGGTTGAGCGATTTGGCCTAAAATCTAAATCTCCATTAGTTGAATTGATTTTTAAATTGATTGCGATTAGTGAACGGTTATTTTATTTATTTATTTATTTTTTTTAAAATTGCCCTTATAGTTCACTATAGTTTTGAACATTAAATATGCCCACATATTACAATTGAGAGATTTCTGAATGAAGGTTTCATTACTTTTTTTTAGGTTGCATTTGAAAATAATTAAAGGAAACACACTTTCTACAATCTATGATTATTTACTTCAACATTGAACAGCTGCAATAAAAACACAAATTAACTAAAACATTTTTTTCTTATAAAAAAAAGTGAAAATAAATAACTTATGGAGACAAAATTAATTATTTTCAATGTTTTTCATATTAAAAGTGGAAAATAAGCATATTTCTTGAATCTTCTGTAAGCAAATATATTAATCTAAATAATAAATTTTATTGTAATGGAAAATATGCTGACTCAAGGATGTCATCGTCAATGTAGTGCAAACGTGCGATGTGTAAATTTTTTGAGAAGTGCGCAGGGATGCGACCACGCAAAAGCTGCGCTGGACCATACCCGTGCAAAAGTATCAGCCTTAACAGAGCGACTCCACACACGGTAGGTAAAGTAATTAAAAAACTTCTGAATGTCAATTTTGAAAACCTTTCGATTCATCTCCCATTGACTTTACTTTAAAGTAGTGAACATGTTGCTTTTAAAATAAATACTTAAAGTCAAACCTGATGTTTTTAAAGTGATTAGTTATCTTTACTTTTTATAAAGTGAGTGAACTTGTTGCTTTTAAAGCAATTCATTGATTTAACTTAAAGTGAGTAAACCCATTGTTTTCAAAGCGATTAGTTGACCTCACTTAAAAAGCATCAGATTTACTCACTTTTTAAAGAGGTAAGTTGACTTTGCTTAAAAAAAAAGTGAGTAAACCTGATGCTTGTAAAGCGATAAGTTCATTTTACTTTAAAAGCATCAGATTTACTTACTTTTATAAAGAGATAAGTTCATTTTACTTTAAAAGCATCAGGTTTACTCACTTTTATAAAGAGATAAGTTCATTTTACTTTAAAAGCATCAGGTTTACTCACTTTTATAAAGAGATAAGTTCATTTTACTTTAAAAGCATCAGGTTTACTCACTTTTATAAAGAGATAAGTTCATTTTACTTTAAAAGCATCAGGTTTACTCACTTTTATAAAGAGATAAGTTGACCTTGCTTAAAAAAGTGAATAAACCTGATGCTTTTAAAGAGATAAGTTCATTTTACTTTAAAAGCATCAGGTTTACTTACTTTTATAAAGAGATAAGTTCATTTTACTTTAAAAGCATCAGGTTTACTCACTTTTATAAAGAGATAAGTTCATTTTACTTTAAAAGCGTCAGGTTTACTTACTTTTATAAAGAGATAAGTTCATTTTACTTTAAAAGCATCAGGTTTACTCACTTTTATAAAGAGATAAGT